GGTGTGTGTGGTGAGGTGGATAAGGTAACCCAAGGTAAGAAGGTAAGGTACCTCTGTTACCGCCAGCCCAGGCAGGCAGGTACCGCTGTAGAATCATCATATGAATACGAGATGTCCCTTCCTCATCCTTCCTCACCATCCACTCTCGTCCATTCATTCACCCATGTCTGCGGCCTGCCTGTGCCTCTCTTCTCCAGGCTCTCCTCTCCTCTCCTCTGCTCCTACGGCTACGGATACCTACTCCTGCCTCTTCCATTCCCGTCAGCTTCTTCCCCAGACTATTATTCGTTTCCCATTCTGGACCCTGGCCTGATCCTCCTGATCCCGCCTTCGCCTTGTCCTAACCAACCCGGTTCGAGCAACCGCCGTCTGCAAGTGTCCGCTGTCGCGCCCGATTCACCACGGCGGATACAACTGCAGTCTGCAGCTTACTGGAGTTTGACTTCCCTGTTTGGCTGAATCACACCCAAAATCCAAAATCACACCAGCCGCCCTGTCGGTCCGCTCATCCTTGCCGTCGGTTCTGCGCCGATTTGGGGACAATCTTGAATATCAAAGACAAACCCCCTGCAAGTCGACTATTATCTTGTACTTGCCTCCCGCCACTACATACGGACCCTTCTCGCTCTTCTCCTGAGGCTTTTCTACGCGCGCCGTCGAAATACCTTCGATTAATCCAACAACAACAATTTCTCCAGCAATCTTCACGACGACTTGGCCCCATTACTCCGTACCCTTTGTGCCGTTGCCCCAGCAGGATATTGCTTCGACCTCACGCAGAAACGTACTAGTCGCTCAACATCCTAGCCGAACCATCCCAAACAGCTCCATCTCGTCTCGAACAGGACCCTGAGCTCTCCACCATTCATCAAGGCACTTTCCGCTGCTTCGGGAAGCCCACCTACGATCTTCCGTGTCCTCCGAGCCACCTCCAAACTTCGACCTAGCCAAGGCATGCGACACCACTGAATACCTACATGTCTTTTGCCATTGCTCCTCAGCACTTGGTTCGACTTACTCCAGATATCACCGCTCCAGCTACGACATAACTAGCCTTTGCCGTCTCTGTCTGCACACCCATTAGCATCCTTCGGGCATCCAAGCCCAGGAGTTCCCGAATCCTCCGGTCGCTCATTCGCGCGCCCACCACCCACGATGGCCCGATTCGGAGGCTCGACCTCGCTCGCCGCGACCCTGATCGTCCTGTTCATGTTCATTGCTACGGCTTCAGCAGCCACGGAGACTGTCTACATCACCGGCTCAGACAAAGATGGCAACAGCAAGCAGCTTGCGGTCAATCGCAATCCCGGCCTGTTTACTGGCGATTTTGGCGACTGTTTGGGAGGACAAAGTTTATTCAACATCACCAAATTCGATGCTGCCTACTACGCCGACAACATGACCGTACAGTTCCACCTGGACGGTACCACCAATATTAGAAACGAATCATTGATGAGTAAGTTCAACCGAATCTGAACTTCTACCTATGTACTGATCATACTGCAGTGCACATCAACGTCGAAGCTTGTAAGCTGCAATCACAACTTGGGACGAACCTGTATGCAGAGATGGGGTATGCTGACTTGTGGCAGATGGCGAGACAAGATTCGAGATGAACTTTAACCCCTGCATGACCAACATCGCTAGGTGCGTCCTAGTCTTGACGCCTCTCAAGGCGGTTTGCTAACTTCCCGCAGTCTGTGCCCTCTGAACGCCAGCAATCCCATCACTGCATTTGCAGAGTTCAGACTCACGCCTGCTCAGATCGACGGCATTCCATCAATCGCCCTCGATATCCCCGATTTTGAAGGTTCTGCGCGCATTCAGATCTTTGCAAACTCGAGTCAGACGCAGATAGGATGTTTCCAAGCCGTCATGCGGAACGGCAATAGCTTTTCCCATCCAGCCGCGATTTCGTCGATACTGGGTGTGTTTACACTCGCCGCTATACTGGCTTCTGCGGCAACCGCCATGTATGGTGTTAGCGTACCTCATATCCGGACACACTACGCCCATTCTCTGTCAGTCCTGGTCATCTTCGAGGCCTACCAGACCGTCTTTTTCTCGGGTGCCTTATCCGTCGACTGGCCTAGCGTCCTGCCCGCCTGGTGGAGCAACTTCGGATGGGCCGCCGGCATGATATACAGCGAGAAAGTAATCAATTCGATTGATGGTTTCGCCGGCGTGACTGGTAATGCCAGCCAGGTAGGCGGTGCAGGATCGACCGTGATTAACACTGGGGGTGGTCTCGTTCAGCAAATTTATGGCCGCTCGCTCGACACTTTCTCGACGTCTAGCGATGGAGTGTCCGTTCCGAATCTCGTGCAGCGAGCGACCAGGGCCTACAACACAAGCAATCCATACGAATACTATTGGGCGGGTAACCCCGTCGCTCCTGGCATGCCTACGCCAGGCAAGTGGATTGGATTCGCCGGAGACCTTTCTGCTCTCGGCATACCGGCCGCCGATGCTTTCACCCTTGGTCTCATCTGGTGGTTAGTGGCCATTGGACTAGTTGCCGTCTCCATCATTGCGTTCAAGTTCATACTCGACTTGCTCGTTCGGGTAAAGCTGATCAAGCAGGATCGCTTCTTACATTTCCGCAACCACTTGGGCGGATACCTGGCTGTCGGAGTTCTGCGCACGCTACTGGTTTCGTTCTCCTCCCTGATGACCCTGGCGCTATTCCAGTTCAACATTCGCGCGCCAGCCGGCCCAACAGCTATCGCGGCGATGATCTTCATCATTTTGCTCATTGGCGTTGGCGGGCTTGTTGCCTACGCTTGTTTCTTCCGTCTCCGACTCGGCAAGTATGAAATGGGCCCCGATACGATCATGTTTGAACAGGGAAAGCTCTTTGGCTCTATACCAGCGGTTGCAACAACGCGTGCCAGCGATATTGGAGAAAAGGAAACTACCGCCAAACGCTATGGGTCGATGCCGTTCTTCAAGATTCGATTCATTGACGACGACCCCAACCGGACAACGGTCCACCAAGACGAGGTTTACATCAAGCGTTTTGGTTGGCTGTCGGCTCGTTACCGCAGGACCAGATGGTGGTTCTTTGCCTGCTGGCTCAGCTACCAGTTCATCCGGGCTTGCTTTATTGGCGGCGGAGCGCGAAGCCCCCTGGCACAAGTTTACGGATTATTCATTTTCGAGATCATCGCTTTCATTGTCTTTGTCAAACTTAGCCCCTTCGAGGGCCAGAGAAACACCTCCGTGGCAATCTGGATGCTGGGCATTACAAAGATTGTCACTTCAGGTTTCTCTATTGCCTTCTTGCCCGCATTTGCCATTGGTCGTATCCTCTCAACTGTTTTCGGCATTATCATCATTGTCGTCCAAGGTTTCCTTATTGTTGCGGTCCTGATTCTCGTTGTACTGGGCGTCATATCATCGTGGATGTCGCTCCACCGAAATCGCGAACAGTTCCCCGAAGCGCTGGATGGAATCCGCATCAGATACTACGAACACATCCAGGCTAGAGCCACTGACCTACCGCCGCCAGCGAAACCAGAGCCGAAGGTCGAAGAACCTCAAGAGCCACCTCAGCCTTACTTTTCAGTCAACAGCGTTCGCCGGACTAGCAAGATTGAGGACGATGACGAGGAAGACAAGGTTGGAGACATCATTCGGCCTGCCAACGCTTCGGTGGTACAGTTTGCCCCGGGTACTACTACCACCGGACGAACCCGGACAGATAGTGTCAGCTCGCGCTACTCTGTTGGTAGCTTGCCGCGCCGCGCCAGAGCACATCGAACCTCATGGAGTTCGGCTGATTTTGCTGAATGGGATTCTAACAATAATGTGGACCGTCCCGCATCATCGCTTGCACACCGTAGCAGTTTCGGTCATCAGCGCAATGGCTCATTGAGACAGGTGTCATACTCTGGATCGCAACCCGACCTCGGACGCTCCGTCAACAACTCACCGGCGCCTGCAAGATCCGTATCGATGACGAACAACGAGTTACGCCGTCTCATGACTCCCACCGAAGAACTTCCAGAGGAGAGTGTAATGACGCCCGGAAGCATGGCCGAGCCTGAGATCAGCACCAAACCTAATGATACCGCCATTTCCCCCATCCACGAAAAAGACGAGCTTGAGACCAGGAAGGAGAGTGTCTCTCCTGTTGAGGAAAAGATTCAGAAGTCTTGAGCTGCTATCAGGAACATGAGAAACAAAATGGTTTCGCAACCATACCGCATCAGGACTTGACACGACAAGCGCCTCCATTTCGATAACACGTCGATATTGGTTTCCTTGCTGCGGAATTACACTGCATAGACGGTCAACACGTTTGACCTTTACGAATCTTATGAGAAACGATTACTGGGCGTTAGCGGGAATGCTCATTTGAAGGAGAAGAAAACCCCCATCTTTGTAATGGCACTAATATGTGGAGGACAGGCCGGCTGGCTGTTACTTACATTTTGCAACGTGCACATAGAGCCGCAGTACATGGATACACATTTATAAATGCAAGAAAGTGGCTGGCTCCAAGCATAGAGATTGAGTTGAAAGGTAGACCTAGAAAACAGTATACAGTCTTCCCTCATGTAAAGTCGTCTTAAACATGACGTGAGCTGTTCCCTTTCGTACACAACGACAAACACCCGGCCTTTCGCTAGTTGCCTTTATTCAAGCTCTCAGGATTGGTGGAACAAGGCGAAATACGTTATTCAACTCAAGATATCTCAAGTAATTTCTGACGACCTTGGTTTGGTGGTTTTAGATTGATGATCCGGGGGGAAAGTGGTGGCTGACAGGCTGCTATGAACCTCCAAGTTTTGGTACTGTTTATCCTTGTAAGCCGTATCTTTCTTCCCTTTTCTTTCTCTCCTCGGATTCAAGGGCCTGGAACCTTTAAATTTCAACTTGTTGACTGTCTGAGAGTTGGTGCTGAAAGGAGAGGAGAGAATGTTTTCTCAGCGTGGCTGATATTATGGTATTGCCGCTGTAGGCCTTGCTAGGAGATTAACCTATTTCTACGTCACGTTTTCTGGAGATATGCGCAGTGTCATACACTATGGGAGAGGTAAGTCGCACCGCCACTTTCTTCGTCCCAGCTTCAACGCCGCCACCGGAATGATAGTTTGCTCCAAGGTGGCAAATATACAGTGGCGGTTTGGGTGCTGTGACGGTGGGCTGTGGTCTTTTGGGGCTCATGCTCTGCGGGATTCATGCAAGAAGATGGGATGAGTGTTGCGGAGTTGGGGCAATGATGGTGAGTGGAATTTCGGGCTGATGGCAAGGTGTGGCTGGTGGTTTGGTGAGGGTAAGGTATGGGTATTCAATGGAGGATGTAGCTTCTTTCCGTTTCTAGGATGGTATTTCGAGTGATGAAGTGGGAATCGGGTTATTTGGGTTTGCCAGGAAGAGTTATTACTTCGGTTTTCTCTTGCGTTGGGGGGCGAGGTATGGTGCCTGGAGGTGGTTCGTGTAATGCAGATGGGACGGCTCCGGTGTAGGCTGGAGTCGTACAGCTTTACACGCATCTATAGAGCATTAGAGAAAAGGCAGAACGAGTATCGTATCTCAAGTGGGCGAGCTCAATCTTTGCATAACTCAACTTGACCCGTCGAAGCGGGAGGCTATTCCGGCGTCGCCTCGACGCCCCCACTTTCGTCCGTCACCAAGTGCGGAGGAACATCCCCGACTCTTACGCCCCCAACGGCAGCAAGTGCCGGGCAACCATGCCCAATCGGGACCCTATAGTCGACTACTGAATTAGGCGGAAGCGAGTGCGAGCGAGGATGGGTGTACCTGGGACGACTGGATGCCCGCCACTTACACTCTGACCGTCCACCACGTCTTATCCACCAAGCAGAAGTAGTCAAACAAGACAGATCAACTGCAAAGAGACGAAACGTTCCATAGTAGATAAGACATCTTTGATGAATTGAGAGGATTCGTCGTCATCTCGCTGTACTTGACGAATGGGGCGCGGGGTGTAAAGTCTATCCGACAACGCGTGTCGCAGAAATATCCCATAGAGCTTTCGTCAGCCACACATACTCTCGCATCAAGCCTCGACGCCATCATCTGATGTTTTGTTTCCTATCGGACCCCCGATTCTACGCTACCATGCCATGCTATGCCGGCCGTATTCGCTGGCTGCCATGTTCAGCTGTCCCATGTCTCGCACCTCTTCGGCATTGCTCATGTCATTCTGTATCGCCCCCTCAGACCCCGACCCCGATATTGAACCCCCTCTTCGGGAGACAAGTGACATTGACAGGTCTATATCAAGCTTGACTCCCAGCTTCCTTCCTTCTCACATAGCCCCTCCCAAAACAACAGTCTTCTTCATCTCAAAAGTAGTAGACTTCGAAAACTAAAACCTCTACAACACTAAGAAACACAGTCACCGCACTCTACTACAAACCACAGCCAAGTCACCAACATCTACAAGTAATCCCCCAGAATTTCACACAGAAACGACAATGTGCTGCCGAAGACGCCGCGCAGCCCGCCAAGCCTGGCTCGAACAACGTGGCCTCGGCGGTCCTCGCGGCTGCCATGGCGCCCGCCACTTCGGCCCCGGCCCCGGAGGCCCGCCATTCCGTCCGCCCTGGGCATCAGGAGGCGGCGGCGGTGGTCCCCCCTTTGGCCGCTGGCGCGACATCCCACGCGACAGCGTCCCTCAAGATCCCTTCCGCGATCCTCCCGCTGCCCCTCGCAACGACCCAGCGACCAGGGACCCGGAAAAGGGCGCCGTCGAGATGAATTTCAGGGACGTAGAGAAGAGCACACCTGCACCGACCCCGGCTCCGGCCCCAACTGCGGCTCCAGCTCCGGAGGGTGATTCGAAGAGGGTGTCATTCATGTCTGGTCCGTTTTCACGGTGGAGAGAGTCCGTTAGGAGCGGTGGGGGCGATGTGAGGAGGTCGTCTTCGAATGCGACGTTGCCTCCTAGATATACCTCTGGTGTCACCGAGGCGCCGTATTGGAGTGGTGAGCAGGCCGGAAATAGGGGTTCCATGCCGCCGAATTACGATGTGGCGATTAAAAACTGAGGCAATCACGGGAGAAACGCCGCTAGGGACATTGATGCATTGGGGGGCGGATCTGGGCTACATGTGAAGCGGTAGCGAGTGTATACAGAGTCGGAAAGGGTTCTTCTTTTTACATTATTACAGAGAATTATACGCAGCACGTTGTTTGCCTACAGTTGTTCGCACCGGGTATTTTAGGGCAAGAATCCAAATGAAAATCAAATAGTCCATCCAACGCCCTGCACCATCGCTCGAAATTTGAACAGTTAGATATACCAGGTTCCATGTGCAGTAGAACGCAAGAACGGGTTTCCGGGAATACTTTCAAGCTTGTGAGCTCGAACTCAGTCCCAATCCTCATAGCCCCCAGCTCCGTAAGGGTTCCACTCCTGGCCGGGGTAACTCGTCGCGCTCATCTGAGGCACATCCACCGGCTCCTCTTCCTTCCTATACTTCACCCCTCCGGATGACAGCTCCTCGTAAGGGTCGACCAGGATCTTCTCCTCCTGGGCCTCGCGACGCATGGTTCTCTGACGCTCATCTTCCGTATCCTCCAGCTCGGCTCTCGTGCTCTTGCCCCTCGCCAGGGTAGTCGAGGCGGCAGTACCAGCGCTGCCGTTGGCGTGGCTGGCGTTTCGGGGCGCTTCGTCGGCAGAGCTGTCGCTGACGATGCTGTGGCCCGTGTTTGCGGCGATTATAGGCTGTGCTGCCGGCGGCTGGGAAGGATTGGAGGGCAGACGCGGTGTAGATTCGTAGAGGTCGTTGTCTTTGGGTTCTTGGTTTGCTTGCTGCACGTTGACACTAAGGCGAGGTGCCGTGGGTGCTGGCGCTGGTGCTGACGCTGGTGCTGGCGGTTCAGACGATGCGATTCTCTCTGCTGGCCCTTGCATTTCGTCGGAAACGCTGCGTGAATTATTAACCATCGTACTGCCGGCATCGATCGCAAGTCCTTGCCTCTGCTGGGCGTGCTCTTGAGGATGGGGAGATGAAGGCTTGTCTTGAGCGCTGCGGAGCACGTTACTGGTGTAGAGTTGTGTCTCAGGAAAGCTGGTCTGTTGCTTCTCATGAACCTCTCTACTTTGGCTTTGCTGTATCTGGGGAGATGCTGCAGCTGGAGCCCCCGCATCGACAAGAGAGTATCGTTGCTGTTGAGGCTGCTGCGCTGGCGGCATTGTTTGCTGACTAAACTGCGGGCTTGAAGCCACAATATGGCCGTCGTCGTGGTTCACTACCCGGATTCCTCTCTGGTCTTGCTGTGGTTGATGTTGTTGATGTTGCTGACCGGAGATTGGCACATCACTATGCGGACCGGGTACCGCCTGCGTGCTGTGGCTGGCATGCGAGATGTTGGACTGGTGAGACGCCATGCTCACGCGGCGGTCACCCTCGGGCCATGCAGCTCCCTGAGGATGGCCCTGAAGCAGTTGCTGTCCTGGCGGTACAGGAGGACTTGGGTGGCTGTACATTGATATCTCGGACGGGTGTCTCTGAGCAACGGGAGGCTGGCCCCAATGTGGCACCTGCGGTGAATGGTAGGCCGGATACTGAACCGGTGGCGATGTACGTGAGAGAGCGTACGGGGATGGCGCTACGCCTCCTTCACCGTGAACGGCAGCATATCCTTGTGGAATAGGGACTTGATCGTACTGGGGTTCAACGTAGGGTTGGTTATGGGGGGCGCTTCCACTTGGCCCAGGACCGTTGGGAATCGCCCGCGTCATGACAGGTTCGAATGGTACGTCTTGTTGACTTGAGAATCTTCCGTTGTTTTGCTGCATCACTTCGGGGTTTCTGCCAGCCACGTCGTGTTGAGAGGGACGCCCTTGGTCAAAGGAACCCATGGATGGGCGCTGTTCTTGGTACATGTGATGGGGTCCTTGTTGCGGCAGATGGCTCCTCTGCGATAACGGAACAGCTGGTGGCACCCTTTGCTGGCCTTGGTTTTTGTAAGGTTGCTGCGGCTGCGGCTGCATGTTTTGAGCCTGGCTTGGATGTGGCATCTGTTGTTGTGGTCGGGGTTCTGGTTGCTTGGATGATCGCTTGAACGCACTGAAAATGGACTTGGTCGTCGACTCTTTCGGAGGACCTTGATTAGGCCGAGGCTGTGGTTGTGTAGAGGTCCTATTCTTGAACCACTTGGATACTGAGTTCTGTTGACCATCGACACTGGAGTCTTGACCGCCAAATTGCATGTCCTGGCTTTGGGGGAAAGGTAGCGAAGAACGCTGGTTTGGTGGGGGAAACGCTTGCGAGAATTGAGCTGGAGATCTCTTTCCAGTATCAAAACCCTGATTCTGGTGCTGATTCTGGTGTTGGTGCTGATGTTGGTGTTGAAGATACTGCTGAGGGTGCTGCTGAGGGTGCTGCTGAGGATGCTGCCGTTCTTCAGGACGTCCCGGAGAAGCGACACCAGGCACGGGCTGACCCATCCGATCAGGCTGCCGCACGTCGGACTGCACACTGGCAGGTCCACCAAGCTGTGGACGCCCCGGAAGCGCATCCGGCGGAGGCCCTCGACCGTCAGAGGCCACAGCTGCCCTCGTCGCCGGCATCTGAGCAACAGCCGCCGGCTTGGGAGAATTCGATATGGACGATCGTTGCGAGGTATCAGAATGGCCGACTACCCCATTAGGAGAGTGTGCCCTGAAGTTGGAGGAAGGGGACAGCAGCGACGCAGATTGCTCCGAGATCCGTCTAGCATGGCCAGACTTCTGGACGCCGAGAGCCTGGTGGTGGTTGGCACCACCTTGCCCCTGGCCCAGAGGCGGTGTCTGCGGGCCCGGCGAGTTCTCACGTCCGTAGCTATGTCTGATTGATGGCTCTGGTGTTGGTTCGGCCGAGAATCCGGGGGGAACCCAGTGCTCTTCGGTCTGGTCTTCTGACTGCTCAGGGCGCGAGAGTTGCTCCTCTGCCTGTAGGAATGATAGAGAAGGCTGCCTCTGCTCAGTGAGACGGCGGCGGCCCGGTGAGGGTTGTTCTCTCTGCGATGGGGGCGCCGGAGCATCAAAGGATTGCGAAGGAGGGTTTGGCTCCATATGCAACATCTGACTGGACTTTCTCCGTGAGACGTGTTCATCGTGTGATTCGTTATTAGGCGCAATGGGAGCTTCACGGCGTTCACTCTGCAATTCGGACACCGGTCGTGCACGCGCTTCTTCCAGCACGGGACTTCTCTGCTGATCCGTCACCGCGGTGAATTGCTGTGACGGCTGAGGAGAGGGCAAGAAAGAACCGTTGGACTTTCTCTGATGAAGTTCCGGCCCCTGATGCTGAGGCTGATGCTGAGGTTGGGGCTGGGGCTGTGGTTGATGTTGAGATTGGATACGTGCGCCAGCGCCTTGTTGCATAGAAAAGTCCTGGAACCGAGACGACTCCTGCTGCCCGAACCCCTGAGGCGGGCTTTGCATAGGTAGCTGTCCCTCATCCTCGCGCCTTGGCCCGAGGTTTGACGGCGGCATCTGTTGACCGGGTTGCTGCACTCTGAACTGAGCCGGAACACTTGCATTCTGGTCCTGTCCTTGAGGGAACCCATGCTGTGTCTCGGTCGTCTTATTGGCAGCGCGTTTGCCAAAGAGTCCAGAAAGAAACCCGCCCGCCGAGCTTCTCCTACCACGCTCGTCATCTTCAACGTTACCCAACGGCTTGTTCACCAGCGACTCCTGTGCGAAAAGTTGGCTTGTGCCAGTGGTGTTGCTCCTTTCTCTCCCCTGAGCGGCTAGGGGGCTAGGCTTGCCAGGTTGGCTTCCTTGCGTGCTTGGCGGGCGGCCGAACATGGTTGAAGTCACGGTAGAATGAGATGTGCTAGGTTTCTGTGGTACCTGTAAATCCTGCTGACTCGAGGTACGAGGGAACACCTTGCTCGTGAAGCCAGAGAAGCGCTTCTTGGGAGGGCCCATGGCTCCGCCTGCTACTTCGTATCCAGCAGTCGATGTTGACGAACGAGACAGGTTGGGCATGGGGAAATTGGCAGATTGATCGGCACCCGGACCGAAGAAGGAACGTTTTCTCTCCGTCGGCCCTCCCGAGGGTGGCTGGGCCTGAGACGGGCCGCCGGGGTTCGGGCTCGCCTTTGGCGACGGCGTAATCTCTTCGCCCGCATCGGAAGGTTTGGATCCTCGCAAGTTGAGAAAGAAGCTCGAACGTCGTCTCTGGCGGTCTTGCAGCTCTCCAATGGCAACACTCGCTTCGGACACGGCATCCCCTCGCACGTCTGGACCAGCCATATAGCTCGGCGCTCCGCTTCCAGCCTTGGACGCTGGCCGTTCCCGCGAGGTGTGACGCGAGATGCGACCTCCAATCTCTTTCAAGAAGCCAGAGCTTCGCCTGCGGCCACGCTCCTCGTCTATCGAGGGATCGACGCCGCTAACTTCCGAGTCACCCGTCTGCGTCCTGTACAGCGACGCGGAATCGCGGCTGTAGAAATGCTGGCCTAAATCCTCGGAGCCTCGTGGCCCTGTGGGAGAGCTAGGGTTTTGATATCCTGCTTGAGGAGTGAAAAGGCCAGGATAACGCTGCGCTGATGACGGAGGCACTTCAGAAAACTTCTGCCTGGGCGGCAACTGCGTTTCGGGTCGTTGCGCTGCCGTTGAAGGGACGCCAGTCTCTTTGTCGATTCCAAAGGAGGTTTGCTGGTGAGGTGACAGAGACCCGCCAGACTGACGATTTCTGCTGGTTGCCAGCGGCTCAGACAAATGCGACTCTTCAAGCTTCCAAGGGCCTTGAGGAGGAAGGTGATGGATCGGGTTGCCTCCAAAAGTTGGAGACATGATACCCTGATGAGGAGGCAAACCTGGACCATAGGGCGGACCGCTCGTTCGACCGTCATTCTGTTGCATCGCTGCTCTTGTGTCAATGGGTCCTGGTACACGGGCGGCACCCTTCATTGCCACCCCCGGTCCAAGAGGTCTCTTCTCATCGTCGATTCTCAGGTCCTGCCCAGTCATCCCACTGCTCTCGGTCGCCAGCGTAGCCGCTTGAGTTGAAGTTGCTGAGAGAACGTTGTGTGACATGTTGCTGTCTTTGCGGAAGCGCGGTGGCCCAGTGTCGATCCGAATGGGTTGCGCAGACTGCTGTGCAGACCAGCTAGATTCCCCCTGCTGATAGCGGGATGAAGAGCCACCATCGTTGCCATACTGATCAGTTGTCGTGGCGACCGGAGAGGAAACGAAGTTGTTATCATCGTCTTCATCCAAGGGAAAGCGTTTCTTCGCCCTCTTGGTCAGATTAATACCGAATGTAGAACTTCGCCTGATGGGCGGGAGGCCAACAAAGGATGATTGGCGCTGAGGAGAAGTCTGTTGTGATGGAAGATGGTTTATGGTCTGTTGTTGCTGCTGCTGGACAGCCTGCTGCTGAACCGGCTGCAAATGCTGGGACGGCTGTACAATAAAGAGACCAGTCGAACTGGAACCGTGAGTCGCATCGTGATCGTCCTCGTCAACCTCTCTGCTCGACTCGGTAGGCTCGAATGACCGCGGCGCCTGTGGCGGTGACTGAGGTGACACCACATGAATCTGACCAGAGGGAGGCGACTGCGGCGACACAACGACCCAGTCGTCGTACGGGTCATCGACCGTATTTGCCCGCGGTCTTACAGCGATGACGGTTTGTGTGGCTTGAGGAGGAGGAGCTTGACCTTGAGCTTGGCCTTGACCTACATGAGGCGCAGGAGGGCTCGGATCCGTGGACTGTCCCATCTCAAAATCTTCCTCCTCCACCAAGGGCGTGCCCGTGAAAGGGTCCCATGACGGCTGAGTCTTGCTGATGGGTCGAGGAACCTGGAGGTCTCCTCCCACGGAGAAATCGTCGCCGGGCGTGTCCTTGGTCTGGAACCGGGGCGTAGTCGATATGGAGTGCGCGTCCGAGACGGGGGACACCGGCTCCGAATCACTGTCTCCTGGAGGTCCGGCAGACTGCTGGGGCGGCGTATGGGGCCGCGGTGGAGCCCATGCCGAAGCTTGATCATCACTACCCTGAGTCAAGGTATCAAATGGGGATATACGTGAGGTCTGGGGTAGTTGAGGCGGTGGAGTCGGAGATGCCGGATGTTCCGGGATGGTCTGTGGAGTTGGGCCTGACACGGATCCCGAATGCGACCGTGAGTGGGCATGACCGTAGCTGTCGGCACGAGGCGACGAACGCGATCCGAGGCTTATGCCCCATGAAGTACGTCGCTCGGCTCTGGTCTTGGGTTGAGCCGGCGGGGGAGATGAGTCGCTCTGTCGGAGAACACGCAATTAGAGATGATTCACCATATAAGATGCCATGTGGGACTTTAGAGTGTCCGAGATCACCACAGGGGTTACATGATGGTGCAGTAGTAGAGAAAAAGTTTCGTAGCATTCCTTAATCATACAGTCCCGTCATTCTGGCCAGAAAGGGAGACACATAACTCATAAGTGATTACCAAGGGGGAAAAAGTGAGGAAGAAGAGCGAAGAAGAAAAAAAGCAATGGGAAAACGTGGTTGCTCGGGACAGATCAGACTGTCGATCCCTCCCAACAACCAGACTAGAAAGAATGCATGCCCTGTGTGATGTGATGATCCCAGTTGATAGGAATGTTAAAGAAATACCTTGTCCCCAGTGCCACGGAGTTTGTTCTTTCCCTTGCTCAATAGACCTTTACCCGCCTTGCCAGCCGCAAGCAATAGTCCCTTGCCCTTCGCCCCAACTTGACCGCTCGAATGCTTGAAATCACTTGAAGGCGAATGAGACGAACCAGTGGGAGCACTTCCCGCAGGAGGTCGACCCGAAGCTCCCGCCGCGAGGTTAGGGTTGCTTGCGTTGAGGTACTGCTGGTAGTAAGGCTGCTGAGAAGCCGGCTGAGAGGTTGTTGGCGACGACTGTGTTGGACCAGAGCCAGGAGCGCCAGCTCCAAATGATGCAGTTGCATTGGCGTGCTCAGGATGCTGGGCCTTTAAGGTTTCCAACCAGTTGTTCAGTCCCGAATCCATCGACGCGAATTGTGAGCGCGTCTCATTGTACTTTTGGATCCTGTCTTTCGAGTTTGAAAGATCCATGATCTCTTTGAATGTCGCAATCTTGACAGGCTGCGTCGACTGGCGTTGAGGAGCAGCAGGAGATGCAGGCGGCTGGCCGGCCTCGGATGACTCTGCCTCTGGCTCAGGCTCGGGTTGAACCTGGGCCAGGGCAGGATGATCGCCGGGCGGTGGGCTAGGTGAGACGGGATTTGATGAGACCCGAGCCATTGACTTTTCTTCCGCGAGCGACAGTCGGCGGGTGGGTGCAGCCGACGTAGTGTTTTTATCGGCCGTGACTGACACGGGTGACGGCGGTTCGATCACTTCGGAGTCCATGCGATCTCTCGGCGCCGAACTAACCTGCGACACTTGATGAGACATCGCGCCCGCGTCTTGCGGCACGCTAATATGCCCATCGTCCAACCCAGTAGCGAGCGGCGTACGTTCGGAGTCGCTGGCTACGTCTGACTGTGCAGCCTGCACCTCATGATCGCCTTGTTTAGGAGGCAGACTGGCTTCGCCGGCATCGCCAAGTTGGGGATGAGACTCGGCGAGGGGATCTTTAGCATCAGAGGCCTTTGGTGTAACCTGCTCCCCTCCTGCTTCCCATGAAAAGCGTCGACCAAGCGTGGAAGCCTTGTCCATGGCGTCTTTGCGAGGGCTCAAAGGAGGAACGTCAGAGATATCTTTGTTGGGGGTAAGCGCCCTCTCTTGCTCTAGCTGTTGTGACGGCAAGCTGGGTACATCGGGTTTGTCGTCGCCTGCAGTCCAATAGTCGTCGTAGACGCTGTCGAGATAGGTGCTTTCACGAGTACCGCTGACGTCGACGGCGGGGCTGAGCGACTGGTGGTTATTGAAGTTGTTCAGTTCGTGGCTTGTAGGGCGGACGGGACTGAGGCTGCGCATGATCTCTTCTCTCAACTTATCGCTCTCCTTGACAGGGGATGGGTCGGCAATGGTGCTCATGGTGGACTCGCGCTGCAGCCTCTCTGGCGCCGCAAAATCCAATGACGAGCTGCCTGATTCGCGAGGGTTCAAAGGAGCCGAAGTCTCCAGGTCGGCATCCTGGTCAACACGACCCTCCATCTGAGCGGCCCGTTCCGAAGCTTCGGGGATGGAAACAGGTATGGATACCGTATCCTTCACGGTAGCTACCCCGCTGCCGCCAAACTTGTCGTCTTCGTTATCGGTAATGGGGGAAACTTCGCCAGGATCCACGCTGAGAATGGGCTTCCGGTCGGCAGTAGCAGCGGGCGTCGCAACGGCGGAAGTGGTCTGAGAATCGGCAATGGAGCGTGTTTCGGTGACCCAGCCTCCAGGAATAGACGGCCGAGTAGTTTGCGAAGGCAGACGAGATCTGCTGGATTCCTCCAAGGCTGGTGGTGTTTGGGATGGTGAACGCGACCTTTCTCTGCTGACTGGTTGAGATGCAGGCAACGATGAGTTGGTTGGCTGCGGAGTCGTGCTGATGATGGGAAGTGGAGACGTCACATCACCGGAGGTTGCAGCAGCAGGAGGTATATCCACAGCTGGCGCTTTCTCTGCCGTGGAGGCGGGTTCGGAAGGTTGCTTCTGGATCTGGGATGGCAGAGTCGGCATCGGAGGCGCTTCGTGAGCATACTTGTCTGGGTTCGAGAAGAAGTCGTCTCCGAAAAGGGACATGCGTGCCAGGTCGGGCAGTCGAGGGCTCGTGGAGTAGCGGCGGTTCTGGTCGGATTCTTCAGCAGTTGGGCGCTGCAACTGCGGTTCCGGCACACCCAAGTTGCTCTCCAGCATGCCTCCTGGAGGACTCAGTCGGCCCCGGTCTACGCCTTGGGCCTGAGGTTGTGCCAGAAGCCCGTCGAAACCGTACTCGCTCTTCCTCTCCGCGACCGGTGCCAGAATAGGTTGTCTTGTGGCATTATCAACAACATCCAGTCCTTCGCCTTTATCCAAACTACGGCGCGTCGTCTGCTGCTCACCAGCATCGACTACCGGAATTGTCGGGTTGGTAGCCGACACTGACGATTCACTCCTAGGGCCAGTAGCACTGTCCATGCTTGGCCTTCCCGATTCCGTCAAGCCACCCTCCTTTTCCTTACTGTCGTCCATCCGGCGATAGATATCCGACGGTCGAATAAAGTGCGCTGCTGTGGTGTTGGACGGAGTGCCCGGCGATTTGACATTGGAGGGGGACGCTGATCGTTGCTCCATCCATGGACGCTGCGTGGAGCTCGACCGAGAACCGGAAGCCTGGCGATCACGGTCTTGCTGTCCCATGCTGCTCTTACGAGGAGGGAAGCGGGCGGCTTGGGTTTGCGCTGGGGCCGGTGAAGTCCGTCTGCTTCCTACAGGAGGGGATGGAGTGCCCCTGGCATATTCTGGGCGACCAGCGAACGGAGCTGCAACGGGCGCTGGAGCTGGTGCTGGGCTCATCCGTGAAGGCAGGCCAGCGCTGGCAGGTGGAGGTGATGACACGACCGGTTCTTGGGGAGCCCTTTCGGGAGCAGCGTCCACTGAGGCCCGCCCTGACACGGTCGGAGGCGGCTTCAGGTCGTCGACCACAGGTTGCTGCACCACGGGAGGTGCAGGCTTTGCCGAGTTCTGGATCTGCAGAGGCGGAAGTCCGGCAGTGGGCCGATGGCTAGAGGTCGGTCTGGCTTCATTCACTGTCGGCTGCGCCGGTCGCACTGAGGGCGCAGGCTCGGCTGGCTGGGGAGCTGGAGCCGGAGCTGGCGGCTGGTGCGACGGGAGAGCTGCATTTGTTGACTGGCCGGCTTGACGGTAGCCCGTGGGCTTCAGCGGCGGCACGGGAACGGGATCGTCGGCTTCGTCTTCAAAGTCGTTTCCCCAGTCATCGCCATCGTAGTTCTGAGTCTTGGCCTCGACCCATTTCTTGGTCTTGGTTCTCTTTACATTGGTCTTATAGGAGGCACTCGTTGGGGTATCCGGGCTTCTACAGACAGAATTGTGTGGTCAGTACCATTCTACAGAGGAGACAAAGCCTAGTTGTGGTGTGTTTGTGTGGAAGCAAGCCAAGTGAAGCTGACGGGTGGAAGAAATCGAATCACTCACAACGGCGAGTTAGAATGAGGGGCCCTGAAGCCGTAATTATACGACGAGCCGTCCATAGCGTCGTTCGTTTATGTGATGGTTTCGAAACCGTCTACTGCTTCATTGCTTGAATTCTCCGACTACGATTGAGGACGTTCCAAGCTTCACCGATAACTCGGAATTGGGTATCGCGAAGCGCGCGGGTTGCGGGTTGCGGTTGGTTTCCCGATGGGATTAGGCGGGTTGGCCAGAAACGTTGCGACGCTGGCTCCAGGTGCGGACCTTCGGATGGGATAAGGAGCACGAAAGTGAGCTCCGAGTTGATAACGACGACGAAAATTGGAAAGAAAACAGGCGCGTCCCAAAAAGGCCAAGAAATCGTCACGTTCTGGCACGGCACAGAGACAGGAACTGGGCTGATAATGATGAAGGTCGGCAGTCTGACAAGGCCAGAATCTCGCTGGAGACGAGCGACCTGATGGGCGACGGGGAACCCAAAGAAAGACGGGATGATAATTTGGGGGCTTGGGAACTTGGGAAGTCGGGGGGGACGTGGCTTGGGGCGGGCTACGCAAGGACAGAAGGTACATGTGCTATGGTGGCGAAGAAGGCGACAGCTGATGTACATCGAGTCGTACCCTTTGATGAGGTAGCAGCGCGACCCAGTCCCAGCCCGCGCGATACGGTGCCTCGCCCTCATTGTCTATGGGGGCTGTCGTGCCATCGACCAGAGAGATGACTGCCTGCCTCTGGCTTTTTTGTTTCTGCCTTCTCGGTGCGGGAACATCTCATCAGCTGGGCTGCACAGTTCATGCCGGGGCCATCCCAGCGTTGTTGCATTGGTATGTCAATCATCAGCAACGCAAAGGCGGGAAACTACTTTGACCACCAGTGCCACCCTTGAAGGACAGACCCGTTGGACGTGCTGAAAAAGAGGGGAACGAGCTGGGGGTGTTTTCCAATGGAAGCTCGAGGATGCCGCCGACTGGATCACGAAGAGCAGGGATGTTTCGTAAACGGCCGCCTGGTCGAGTCTGCTGTGGCTTGAGCCTTGGAAGTTCTTGCCTGAGTGCGTAGGTAACGGTCTCCTACGTC